CGGCCCCCCCGCTACCGCCCCCCCCCCGCGGCACCCTCTCCCCCTCCCCCCCGCGTCCCGATATTTGACTTGGGTGATCTGGTCACCCTAGATGAGATAAGAAAGGGAGCCCTTGTCCCAGCTGAGCACCCTTCACAACAGTCCTGGCAGTTTCTAACCAATGTTTCCCAGCTCTTTATTTGTAAAACGTTCAAAATAGGAAGCAATGTGTGCCTTCCCCAAGAGGACACACTGTACCTTTCAACATATCAAAGTGAGAAGGCACATAGTGGGCCATGCAGTTGTACGCCACATCAGAGATGGGATCTCCTAAGGTAGAAAGTTCCCAGTCGAGGACAGCAAGGACTTCTGGCCCCTCTGGATGAAAAATCAGGTTATCCAGCCTGGATCAGAAAGGGGAAGGGTTTAGAGAAGTCCTAAGAGAAAAAACACTCACAGAGGGAGAAGCATTCCTGACAATCGTTTAGTTTCAGTTAAACAAGTGACCTGGAACTCTGTGCTAGTTGGGGGATTGATTCCATATCACTAGCTCCTTTGGGAGGGCTGTGGAAGCAGAGAGCTCAGCTCTGGGAAGTGATGGACAGAAGAGGCTTAAGTTGTTCAACCTTCTGGCTGGTTAATTGTGAACTGACGTGGTTTAAAGACAGTTTAGGATCTCAGATCACTAACAGAAACTATGGCATGTGCCAACTGGAAAATGACAGACTTCAGGTCAATTTCAAAATGGATTTATTGGTCATTTTAAGCCAACACTTATAATTTGTTAGTGATTCAAGATTCCAAACTGTTTTCTGCTGACTTTTTGTGTGGTGTAGACTAGAGGCTTCCAAGAGTTTTCACAGAGGTTGGCTGTGATAATGGGGTGTGAAAGGCTCCTGCTGAGATGCAAAGAACCCACTCACTCCACTCACACATAGGAGTTTTATTGGTGAAGGAAACTGTAATGCTTCATGTCTGGATGAGTTAGTGATCCGCCATACGGATCCACCATGCAGCATCAGAAATGCAAAGGAAGGGCCAGGAGCTCCCCTAACCCAGGTCCTTGCAAGGCAAGTGAATGAGAGCTGTCTGCAAGGCAGGATGGGAACATCCGAGAGGTATAATTAGGCACAATGGGATGATATTAAGACGGGGGAGAGTGAGACAGATTAGACTGGGATACTCTCCTTGAGGGGAAAGGTGGGAGCAGAGCAGTCAGGTCATTGCTTATTATTTATTTATAGACTGCATGCCACTTCCCAGGCACTGAGAACTAGAAATGATTTATAGGGGCCGATCCTGCCCTGGCTCCCAGGGCACAGACTACATGGGAGATAACAGGTCCTTTCCAGCTCTAATTTCTACAGGTTAGAGGAGCAGCTCCTATATTTGGATTGTAAGGTCTTTGGGGCAGGGACCCACACTTTGTTCTGAGTTTGTACAGAGTCGAGCACAATGGGGTTCTCCTAGGCACTACAGTAATACAAATAATAAATAATAATAATAGTTCAGCCAGTATATTGAAGTGTTACAGAGAGGTAGCTGTGTCATGCTCCAACAGACCGCAGCGGGGCACAGATCTGCAAGCCAGCCTACCACCATAAGGAGACAAATGCAGTTCTTGCTCCAGGCAAATTTTTTAGCTCATGATAAAAGTAGTTCTCACCAGTCAGCATGTTGACCTCCCCATGTGCAGCCATCGTATTACTGAAGGGTGACCTCCTTTGTAATACTGGCAGCAGGTGAGCTAATGCCACAGTCAAGCAGGGGTCCGTCAAAACCAGGGATCTAGTTAAACTCTCACTACTTTAAACTTCACGTCGCAAGGTTCCTTCTCTGACTGCTAAGAGCGAGGCAGAAAATATCCTATAATCCCCCAGGTTATGTCTCAATTCAGCTGAGATCAGCAATGGTGCCGCTTTGCAGTGGCTGTGCCCGAAAGAGAATCCAAACTGCTGCTCCAAAAGCAAAGCTGCAACTAGAACCCAGGCGTGCTGACTTCTAGTTCCCTACTCCAACTACTAGATTAAACTCCTCTGCCCCCAAGTGCCACTGGTTTAAATGGCTACAAATGCACTAGGCAGATGAAATGGGGAGTGAAATGCTGCATGTACCTCTTGTGAGCTCCCAGGGTGCTGAACAGAGCAGTGATGCAGCTTCCTTTTCAAATAGCTTTGGAACATAGTGCTGGGGGTTTCTCGGAGATCCCCCTTTCTTCCTCCCTTGGTAACACATAGTGCCTTTTCCAAATGGGTGCTGGCAGACAGCTAGTACCTGAAATCTCCATGCACAACTGTGGTCTTCTGGTTCCCTGGGAGATGCAACGGGAGCCACTCAATGAGTCTCTCCATGGCAGGAATAGCGTGGGTTTCTGTGGCTCGATACTGCTTCGTCCAGGTTTGAACTTGCCGTTGAACATAGTTACCTAAAGCCAAGGAAATTAAGTCTCTGGGGTATAGTTCCAAATACAAGGAGGCCTTTGAAAATAACCACAGAAGAGCTGCATCTGGAAACAGTCTAATAGCCAAAAACAAAGCCAGTCTCCGTCCAACCAGACAAATGTACACTTCTCCAAGAGAGCGTTTTGCTGCAGCCATGGGCCACAAGCAGCCCCAGAATAATTGGGCAGAACTCCCAGCAGCCCAGGAGATTTGCCTGCTTCTGCTCCGGCTGCCTTTGGTCCTGTAAGTCTGGTGAAGCAGAAATATCCGTCACCTTTTTTACACTTGGCAGCTTTAAGGAGCAGGATAGGTAGAGCATCATGCATAGTGGCTGGCTTACGGCAAGATGGTCACCCAAGTCATGTTTTGTTGCTGCCTCAAGAAGGGAGTCTCCTCCTGTAATACTGCAACTCCTGTGGTTTGGGTTAAGAACCCAGTATGTTCTCTATCTGGGCACTGTATCAGTTCCTGGCAGGGGAATGGCTTAGCTATTCCAACTGGTTACAAATAACTGGGGTCCTAAACAAAAAATATAATTCCAACAAAGGCCAAATCCTGGCACAGCTGCTCCGCAGGAGCCCTTTGCCCCCGGAGGCGGCTCTGCAGGGGGTACTGTTGAACCTCTGGGGGCAGGATCTGAGGGAGCCCAGTCATTATGATAGCAAACAAATGATTGGCAGGCAGAGCCAATGGGAGGAAGCTCTGGAAACTAATTCCAAAAACCACTGACTCCTGGAGGATCCCAAGCAGCTGTTCCATGCACCCTTGACTGGCCTGAGGATCTGTCATGCTGCTGGACAGCTCCCCTTCCCTACCATTGCCCTAAGGATTTGGCCTTATGTGACCATACCCCTTTAAAAACTAACACATAGGAAGAGCATGACAGCAGATTTCCTTCTCACCGTGCTTCCCATAATCCTCCAGTCCAGCCGCTTTGAGGTCTACTCTATGGATTTTACAGAGGACTTTGTTCATAGCCGTGTAAATAGCCCTCCGCTGGCCAGGGTCCAGGCCAGGAAGAGAGTGGTCCTTGTAGATGTGGCCGGTGCAGTATTCCATCAGGTAGAATGGGGTGCCGATGATACTAAAATGACAGAATTGAAACAACCGTCTTTCAGTGACAGGCCTCAGAGATGAGTCGAATATTCCTGCATCTATTGCGTCAGGGTAGAGAAGTTATTGCCAAGTCTGAACATGCTCTTTAATTCTAGGGTTTGTTCTGTGCTGAGCGCAGCGTTTATGCCTAACGAACAAAAATCAGAATAGTTCTAATAATAAATAACGACAGAACCCAGTTAACCATTATAACCATCTGCTGTAAATATCAGTACAAAACAAAAGTGCAGTTAAGGTTAGAAACACGATTATGTAAAAATAATGCCTCTCTCAACAGAGGGGCTGACTTTAGGATCAGGGGCCAGTTTGTGCTACTGTTTACACCTATTAGTCTTGTACAATCAGCACAGCAATGGGAGAGGGAGATGGATTCTATTCCTTCTCATGCAAGACCCTGTAAGAATTGTTCACCAAGTTTCAGTTGCTGCTGCTGATGATGATGCAAAAGCCAGAAAGAACTCAGCTTTAGCTCTCAGGGTGAGTTTGCAGGGCCGGCAGGTAGAAAAATCATCTTGTTACTTGGAACTTGTGCATATTTGATCTGGAACCATACAGGGAGTGCCATTATGCCATTTTTGCAGTCTCTTTTCAGAGCGTAAGAGCGATTTTAATTAATTGCAAAAATAAAATACTAAAGACACACCCAAAACAAGCTGAATAATATGTTATGGTGCTTTGCACTTCTACAGCCTCTTTCATCTGGAGAATTCAAAGTGCTTCACAATAGTTATTAGTTAAGCCACAAAAGCCCTTTGTGAGGTATGGACAAGGGACACATAGGTGAAGCGTCATCCACCCTGAATTACAGCAACTTCTGGGGTAGATCATGGCAGCTGTTTAACAGCACCTAGCAATGCTATAGAATAGTTTAGAGTGGGAAACAAAATTCATATACCCAACTGGTAGGCAGAATGGAATTATCTGAGTGGAAATTTGGTCAGAACACCTAGGTTAACACCATTATTTTTGCAAAAAGTGCCAGGAGATCATTAGAGGCCACAATCAGGCAGGACCATCCAAAACACAAATGCCCAATATTTCAGCATATCTGCAGTAAGACCAAACATTCTCCACTGGCCACACACACTGTGCCTTTTACACGTCTCTTCCACAGACAGCCAAGACAGGGCTCCTTCCTCCTGCGTTGATTTCAACACTTCTTCACAGGTCTGACAGTCACTGAAGTTACTGCACCTTTCCACATGAACAGTTCTATCTGTCTAACTGGGTTTTTCTACAGCTTCTGTCACCTTTGAGTCTGACAGCGGCCTCCTTCTCTGCTCTGCTATAAACTGGGAGTGGAAGTTTCTGGCTACAATTGTCACTTACTTTTGATGAAAATTGGAAAAAAAATCACCTTGAATCTTCACAGAGTGCAAGCACTTTAGGAACAGGAACTCCGGCCTCAGCAAGAGCCTTCAATACCCTGCCAGGACAAGCAACCCGGAGAGACTTTGTCAGGAGAGAAAGAATTGATCGTTTTTTGCCTGCCGTATTGGTGACATTAAAAAAGATGCTGTCCTTTAAATACGAAGGTAACATGCTAGATCAGGGGCTCCCAAACTTTTGTACTGGTGACTCCTTTCACACAGCAAGCCTCTGAGTGTGACCCCCCCTTTATAAATTAAAAACACTATTTTTATATTTAACACTATTAAATGCTGGAGGTGAAGGCTGACAGCTCGTGACCCCCCACATAATAACCTTGTGACCACCTGAGGGGTCACGACTCCCAGTTTGAGAACCCCTGCGCTAGATGGACATACAGAAATGGAATCATGCTATTAATGTAATGTTTAGCATTCATCCCCACTTTATTACTGGCTTACATGTATACAGCACCTTTCACCTAGCAGGAACTCAAAGCATTTTAACATACACACACAGAGGAATCACTTCATCCCCCATTGAAATGCAGCCATCTCTGGGGTGGAGCATGACTGTTTAAAAGCACACAACATTACCTAACCCATACACTACAATTCCCTGTCTAAATTGTTAAGTGTATACATGTGCCACTGCCCCTCTGCTGGACAGAATGTCAGACTTGCCAAGTATGTCACCCTTTAGAGGCCAGAGGCTATAAGTCTTAATACTATTATGGCTAAAGGAGATTCTCCTTCAAGTAGGGGTGGGGAGAGACCTGTGGTCTATTCCTGATGATGACTGTGAAATCTAGACATCCACAGAATCGTCATAAAGTGGAGGCATCTTGTGTCCTACTGAAGCTGCAGCGTGAGTTTAACAAGACAGTCTACTTCCATCCAGGGTAATCACATTCTAAGTCAAAGAGGCTACCACCCCCCACCGCTTGCAATATTCACTCTTAGAGCTCTAATCAGCAGGAGCTCAGTTTTATGTAGGGTTACCATACGTCCTCTTTTTCCCGGACATGTCCGGCTTTTCAGCACTCAATCCCCTGTCCGGGGGGAATTGCCAAAAAGCCGAACATGTCCGGGAAAATGGCAGCTCTGCTCCTCCCCGACTCTTCGGCTCTGTTTAAGAGCCGGGCTGCCCGAGCGCTACCGGCTTCGGGCAGCCCCGTGCCTCCAGACCCTGCGCCGCCGGAGCCCGGGAAGGGAAGTGCCCGGCCGGCGGCT